TCTAACCTAAGAGTTAAGGACTCTTAAGACAAGGGGAACAAGATTAAATCCAACTTACCACTTGCTTCTCCAAGCACAATGCCAAACAGACTCAGAAACAGAGCCTGGAAAGTCATTTTGGAAGGCAGCATCACCTTCACCTGAAGAAGGATGAGAAGAGATGCACGACTTAATAACAGATCATCTTCCACTGACACCAGCTTTCAAAGGTGTTACTGTTGCTTTGCCACCTAACAAGAACGTACTGATGAGTGGCAGACGGCAAATTTCACAGGTCCTGCTACACAACACATAAATTGCTAGATGAAGCAGCAAAGTATTATGTGATGTAAATTAGAAAAGCATTCATTTTACAAATTTTTCCTCAAGGACTCACATTTATAGAATCATGGTTGGAAGAGACCTTCAAGGTCATCGAGTCTAACCCTTCAACATCAAGCCTGCTAAAGCAGGTACCTAAGAAGTGCCTCATCTATGCATTTCTTGAATGCTGCCTGGGATGGGGACTCCACCGCTTCCTTGGGCAGCCTCTTCCAATGCTTGACCACTCTTCCTGTGTAATAGCTTAGTGTCAGAGCTGAAGCTTACTCTTCCGAAGAGCACTTTATCATGAATATTAAATCACTGAATGGCTTATATGGCTTCATGCATATAAAGCAGTGGATTTAATTTAAAAATGCTTTTTGCTTTTTAAAAATATCTTTGAAACCCCGACTTGTAGTGCAGAGACCCACACAAGCAGATTAAAATATTATACAGACTCTCATTGTGATAGAGATAAAAAGGTCTATACAAACCTTACTGGCAGGAGAGGAACAGAAATAGTTATTCATGTTTCTTTCAGTACCAACACTAGGTGACACCTAATTTAACTGCTAAATGRAGTGTTTCAGATGAACCAAGGGAAAGTCTTGATAATGCAATAAACAGTTTACTGACGGGACCCATTAACACAGAGTTTCTGTAATCACTGCAAGGGTTCAAGCTGTGCAGAGGTTCAGAAAGGATCCRGATAGCTGTTGCAACAGAAGAGTTGTTCAGACAGCCCCTGAGAAATAGTTCCCCCCACACATTCTCCTACCTTAATTTATCAATTAACCGTAATGGATAATTATATCAATGACTGTTGCAACATCTTACAGAGAGGACAAGTGCACAGGGTGCCCTGAGGCTTCCACAAAAAGCCTGATGTAGGGGTGGGTGCCCCAGAACTAGCCAGAGCTGTAACACACAAAGGATAAATCAGAAGTAATTTCTCTGAGAGCTTCAGGACTCTCTGTCTGCTCAAAGTAGCACAAACTGAGGGACCTTCGAGGCACCTGCTACACAGAAATTATTTCTAAGGAGAGGAAGGGGCAGAAGAGAGGTTGCTTCTGTTTTCCTTAGTGAATAACTTGCCTAAAATTGAAACTTGCACCATATATGGAGAAAAAAATATTTGCCCAAAAATAATTTTGTAAACACATTATTACAAATCCCTGAACTTTGTGCCAATATCAGCAAGGCTGGGAATGTCAGCTTCCTGGGAATGTCTCCTATCAAAAACACAGAAAAAAAAACAACTCTTACATGCTTTTTTTTATAACATGCAATAAACAGAAGACTAAATGAATTGTAAGGGTGTTCTGTGTTATTATACTGCTCTAGAAAGCAACTGATGATGAATAAGTAAGAGGAAGAGAGAAAACTGCACTTTAAAAATGTTCCCATCAAACTTGTGCACCTGACACTTATGCACCCTTCAGGTAGCATGCCCTTATATTTTAAATCCTTGGAGTCAAAACAACTCCTTAAGCCACTCCACAGTTATGAAGCATGAATAAAGACTACATAAAGACTTAAACACAAAATCAAAAATAAGAAAACACCAGCAAAGTCAGACGGTGGCGCATAAAGCTCTKTAGAATATCCAGACTGGTATTCCTAAACATTTGCAAAATCAGTGGCCGGCATAAAAGACCAGAGAGAAACTTCAAGTTGTGCTTTTACACTTCAACAAGTGTTTTTACATACAACAGGAAGATATGCTAAATTTTCAGTAATAAGCTACCGTTCAGTAATAAGCTACCCCTTTTAGCGACCGTTAGATTCCTTCATGCSTAACTACAAGATGTCCCACAAGGAGGAACCAGCAGATCTCGCAGCTGGGCTGGTCACAGAACAAAGAAAACAGGAATCCCTCTAAGTCAAAGGCCCATTCTAGTGAAATTAGGAGGGAAAAGAAAAAGACGTTAAGACGGAAAGAAATAAACAAYGGCCCTTCCTCTTTCCAAAGAGAGGAAAACTGCCTCTAAAACTGCACGGTATTTTTCGCAAGCTACAGGAGTTAAAAAAAACCCTTCAGCAGTCTTTTTTGGGGTCTGTTCAAGCAGCCTTTAAGAGCTTTTGCGCACTTGGGCCAGGCGCGCCGCGCTCGCTCCTCCTCTGCCACACGATACCCGCCAGCTCGGGGGGCCCAGAGAGGGCCCTGCCACCCACTGCGCCCCTTACCGCGCTGCCCTCCGCTTCCCGTGCGCTCCAGCGGCCGTGGAAGTGCTGCTCGGACCGTCGCTTGCTCCGGCAGCGCGGCCCCGGCTGCGACCCGCGCACCAACTGAACGCGCGTTAAAAAGGAAAAAGAAATCAAACGAAAAACCTCAAAAACATACAAAAATTCAAAAAACAGGCAAAGCCCGCCCTTACTTACGCGATTCCCTGCCGCGGCACCGCCCCGGCCGAGCAGCACTCGACCTGCCGCGGCACCGCCCCGGCCGAGCAGCACTCGAGCTCCGGCTGCCCTGGCCCATCGTGGGCTAATGATGGAAAAAAGCAGCATAGGAGAGGCTGTTGTGGGTCATGTCCTGCTCTTTTCAATGGATAATAATGTATTTTAAAAACACAGTGCCACTCGCACACGCAGTTCAGCATCTGCCGGCACTCACTTGCTTCTCGAATGTGTTGAAAACGGTTTTCTTTCTCTAAGCACTGAAGCTAGGAGGAAGGAGCAGGCTGCCTTCCTCCTCCGGTCTTTGTGTTATTATCAGGAGCTCCAAACTGCTATCTTTTTTTTCCCCTTTTTTCCTTTTTTTTTTTTTTTCCCCCTGCAGGACTACTAACATCAACAAAATTAACGGATTGTTCTTGGAACTGCTGCAGATAAGAACACAGTAATAATAACAAACTGCATAGATAGTTAAGAGCAGTGACATTTGCAGATACTGGGTCGTGAATACTTTATGCTTCTGACAGCATTTCAGGCCAGCAACAAGACAAGAGGTTAATGGGTATAAATGGATCACACAGGAAGCCTCATCTCCATGTGAGGAAGAACCCTTTTAGTGTGAGGGTGGCAGAGCCCTGGCACAAGCTGCCCAGGGAGGCTGTGGAATCTCCTTCTCTGGAGGTCTTCCAAACCCGCCTGGATGCCGCCCTGTGCCCCRTGCTCTGGGTGTCCCGGCTGGAGCAGGGGGTTGGACTGGGTGATATCTAGAGGTCCTCTTCAACTTTAAGCATACTGTGCTTTATTGCAAAGCCTCATTGAAAGTTATATAATACATTTACTAAATGTAATCATCACCTTGGAATTTTTTTTTCTTAATTAGCACAAATCTGTTTTTAATTTCTTAATTAGCACACACTGTGGCCAGTGGTGTCCCCCAGGGGTCAGTACTGGGCCCGGTGCTGTTCAACCTGTTCATCAATGACCTGGATGAGGGCASGGAGTGCACCCTGAGCAAGTCTGCAGATGACACCAAGCTGGGTGGAGTGGCTGACACTCTAGGGGGCTGTGCTGCCATCCAGAGGGACCTGGACAGGCTGGATAGTTGGGCAGGGAGGAACCTCATAAGGTTCAACAAGGACAAGTGCAGGGTCCTGCACTTGGGGAGGAATAACCCCAGGCATCAGTACAGATTAGGGGTCGACCTGCTGGAAAGCAGCTCCGCGGAGAGGGACCTGGGAGTCCCTCTAAGTCAACTAAGTCAACTAAGTCTAAGTCCCTCTTAGTGTCAGCTCCCCTGGGAGTTGACACTAAGTTAACCATGAGTCAGCAGTGTGCCCTCGTGGCCAAGAAGGCCAACGGGATCCTGGCCTGCATCAGGAGGATGTTGCCAGCAGGTCAAGGGAGGGGATTCTGCCCCTCTGCTCAGCTCTGGTGAGGCCGCACCTGGAGTACTGTGTGCAGTTCTGGGCACCCCAGTATAGGAGGGACGTGGAGCTTCTCGAGAGGGTCCAGAGAAGAGCAACTAAGATGATTAAGGGAATGGAACATCTCCCGTACGAAGAGAGGCTTAGTGAGCTGGGCCTGTTTTCTCTGGAGAAGAGACGGCTCAGAGGTATAAGTTCAGGAAGGGAGAATGCAGGGAGGAAGGGGACAGGCTGTTTTCACTGRTGGCCAGCGAYAGGACRAGGGGTAATGGCCATAAGCTGGAGCACAGGAAGTTCCGTCTCCAGGTGAGGAGSAACYTCTTTACYGTTAGGGTGACAGAGCAGTGGAACAGGCTGCCCAGGGAGGTTGTGGAGTCTCCTWCTCTGGAGGTCTTCAAAACCCGCCTGGATGCCACCCTGTGCCACATGCTGTAGGTGTGCCTGCTTGAGCAGGAAGGTTGRACTAGATGATCTCTAGAGGTCCCTTCCAACCTTCAATATTCTGTGATTCTGTGAAATCAGAGTATTAAGTACTAGTAACACACCAATGGCCTGTCCTTAATCACCAAAGAAGGTTTGAGCACTAGGTCTAAGGTGATTCTTTTCTGGATCCTCAGTGCAGTATGAATGAAAAAAAAATCTTATTTCTGACATGAGGCCGAGAGAAGCTTGTGTAAAAGCTCAATTCAAAATCTCGTGGAAGTTGATTTCATTATACAGAAATCTCCAGGCAAGCTAATTTTACATGCAGTTTCACACTCAAAAGCACAAAGCCGAAGTAGCAAGGAGGGCATGGGATGCTCTCTGTGGAGCCCTCCTTGCAGTGTCTTCTGGGTTCCTCTGTGTTGGTGAAGACCAATTGATTTAGAGTTACAGAAACATACAATCATTATGGTTGGAAAAGACCTACAAGATCATCAAGACCAACCACAAACCACTGAATCTGTCCTGGCACAACTTGAGGCCATTTCCTCTTGTCCTATCAGTAGTTGCTTTGGAGATGAGATCAACCCCAGCCTCACTACCACTTTCTTTCAGGTAGTTGTRGAGAGGGGTAAGGTTTTCCTTGAGCTTCCTCTTCTCCAGACTAAATAACYTCAGCTCCCTCAGCCATTCCTTGTAAGGTCTGTGCTCCAGCTCCTGCACCAGTTTCATTGCCCTTTGGACACGTTCCAGCATCTCAGTGGGTCTGAAAACTGAACACAGTAGTCAAGGTACRGCCTCACCAGTGCTGAGTACAGGGGGATGATCAYTTTGCTGGTCCTGCTGGCTACACTGTTCCTGATACAAGCCAGGATGCCATTGGCCTTCTTGGCCTCTTGGGCACACTGCTGGCTCATGTTCAGCTGTCTGTCAAGCAACACTCCCAGATCCTTTTCTGCCACACAGCTCTCCAGGTGTTCTGCCCCAAGCCTGTGGCACTGCATGGGGTTATTGTGACCAAAGTGCAGCACCCGGCCCTTGGCCTTACTGAACCTCATATGGTTGGCCTCATCCCAGCAATCCAGTCTGTCCAGATCCCTCTGTAGAGTTTTCCTAGCCTCAAGMAGATCAACTCTTCCTCCCAGACTGGTGTCATCTTCAGATTTGCTGAGGGTGCACACAATTCACTCATTGAGATCATCAATAAAGATGCTAAAGAGGACCATCTCCAACAGTTTCTCCACTGGGAAACACCACTCGTGACCAGTTGCCAGCTGGATTTAACTCCATTCACCACCACTCTCTGGGTCTGGCCATCCAGGAAGTTTTTCACCCAGCAAAGTGTACAGCTGTCTAAGCCATGAGCTGCCAGCTTATCCAGAAGAAGGCAGTGGGAGATGGTGTCAAAGGCCTTACTGAAGTCTAAGTAGATCACACCCACAGCCTTTTCTTCATACACTAGGTGGGTCATCTGTTCTTTGGAGATCAGGTTGGCCAAGTAGGACTTGCCTTTCATGACCCCGTCTTGGCTGGGCCTGATCTCCTGGTTGACACACACATGCTGTGTGATCATCCTTAATATGATCTGCACCACAACTTTCCCTGATACCACGCTCAGGCTRACAGTTTCCCAGATCCTCCATCCAACCCTCTTGTAGATGGRTGTCACATTGACAAGTTTCCAATCATCTGGGACCTCTCCTGTGTCCCCATACCAGGATTGCTGCTAGATGGTGAAGAGTGGCTTGGCAGACACTTCCTTCTTCCAAAGGTGGTAAGCTCTTTTCCCCAGGTCTCACTGATAGTTCCCTATTCAGCCAGGCTGGCCATCTTCCCTGGCAGCTCATCTTTTGGCACATGGGGTCGGTCTGCTCCTATGCCTTTCAGATTTCTTTCCTGAGAAATGTCCAGCCTTCCTGGACCCCTTGGCTCTTCAGGACTGTCTCCCAAGGGACTCTCCCAACCAATSTCCTAAACAGTCCAAAGTCTGCCCTCCATTAGTGCAAGGTAGTGGTTTTGCTGACGCCCTTCCCAACTTCATCAAGAATTGGAAACTATTATCTCATGGCCACTATGCCCAAGAGAGCCTCTGACCACCGCATTTATCACCAGTCCTTCTCTTTTGCTGAAGAGCAGGTCCAGTGCAGCTCCTCCTCTGYTAGGCTTGCTTACCAGCTGTGAATACGGCAGGAAGTTACCTTCCATGTACTCCATGCACCCTGCTAGATCGTTTCCTCTCTGCCGTATTKTATTTCCAACAAACATCTGGTAGATGAAAGTCCCCAACAAGAACAAGGGCTGCCAATCATAAGACTTCTGCCAGCTGCTTATAGCATATTTGATCTGCTTCTTCATCCTGGTTGGGTGGCCTATAGCAGACTCCCACTAGAAGATATGCTGGTCAAGCAGACTCTCAACCAACCGTTTGAGAGAGGTGATCGTCCCCCTATACACAGCCCTGGGGAGGTCACATCTGGAGACTGTGTCCAGTTCTGGTCTCCCCAGGAGAGGGATGTGGAGCTGCTGGGAAGAATCCAGTGCAGGGCTACGAGGATGATCAGGGGCCTGGAACATCTGCCCTATGAGCAAAGGCTGAGGGAGCTGGGCCTGTTCAGCCTGAAGAAGAGAAGACTGAGGCRGGGATGTGATCTATAAATACCTCAAGGAAAGCAGTGAGGAGGAGGGGGCCAGCCTCTTTTCGGTGATGGCCACCAAGAAGACTAGAGGAAATGACCACAAACTGAAGCATCTAAAGTTCCACAGGAACTTAAGGAAAAAAATCTTGACAGTGAGGGTGACAGAGCAGTGGAACAGGTTGCCAAGAGAGGTTGTGAAGTCTCCTTCCCTGGAGATCTTCAAATCCCACTTGGACACAATCCTGTGCCATGTGTTCTAGGTGACCCTGCATGTGAAGGGAGGTTGGACTAGATGATCTCTAAAGGTCTCTTCCAACCTTAAGGATTCTATGATTCTATGATATAAGCCTTGTTGGCCTTCCCCCTGATCCTGACTCATTATCACTTGACTTTTCCATCACTCACTTGGAGCTCCATGCAACTGAAACACTACCTAACATACAGGGATACCCCACCTCCTTTCCTTCCTTGCCTGTCCCTTCTGAAAAGTCTGTAGCTATCCATTGCAGCACTTCAGTCATGACAGTGGTC